TTCTATTCACATTGAAAATAATTTAATATCACAAATGCGGAAATGATTTTACGTTTTGTGAACTGACTCCAGATGGCGATTTTTCTTTTCAAAATCCAGTAATTTTTTTTCTATTTATCTTTTAATTATTATTATTATAATTATATCTCTAGCCACCTAAGCCTGCGACATTGGTACCCACGAACCTGATTTGTTTCAGGTTACTTTTTTGGTCCAATTTATTAGTGACTTTTTGTGCGAGTACTAGTTTCTCATTTTTTTTATATCCCACAATAATAATAATTAGCATAAAAGGGGAAAGAATTTTTTTTAAATTAATTAAATTTAACAGGAAATTATTTTTTTTTCTATCACAGTTGTTAAATAGGATTTGAAAATTTTAACGAATTAATTTAAAAGTTTTTTTTTTTATTTAATTATATGTTTAATAAAACGTTGAGAATTTATTAAATAGAATAAATTAATTAACAGTTGGATTAAATATAAGTTAATTAGTTAAATGTACAATTGAACGCATGATGAAACGATTTAGGGTTGTATTTTTTTATGTTTGAATTAAGAACGTGAGGAGTGGAGGGATGACGAATCGCTGCGTTTCTTCTCCCACTCCTCTCGGGCGCAAACGAATCACAGCGCTACGTCTCCCACTTCACCTGAGCGAGAACGAATCACTGCGCTTCGTCCCCCACTCCGCCTGAGCGAGAACAAATCACTAATCACTATTTTCTGCACTTCTTAATTTAAATTATTAAAAAAAAAACCTAAGTCGAAAAGAACAATAAAATTTAAAACTAATTAAAACAGCCATTAACTAAAAACACTATCTACATTAAATATTTTGGGATTTTCATAGTAGCTTTGGATTTTAAAGTCTCAATTATCGCTAAGAGTTTTTTTTTCAGTTAACATTAAATTGAATCATCAATAAAATTGATAGTCGATTTCTATTCATTATCAGCTAAATTTTTTTTTTTTTATTATCTACGGATTACGATGACAATTTTTCCATTTCCAGTCCAATTGGACCTCTTCTAATGTCATGTCGGTAACTATCGGTAACAGAAATCTGTAATCGAAATTTGTTTTTTTTTCTTTATTTCTGTTACTCTTTTCCAGTTAGCAATTCTGATTCTTTTTTTTACGTACTCCTTATAGTCTTAATTAATTAATTAATTATAAATATCGATCGCTAAAGTCCATTAATTCGCAAATTTTTTTTTTTTATTTTTTTTTTGCGACTAGGCAAATTCAACAGTACAAAGTGTGTGCGTTTTGTGGCCTCGTAAGACTGGTGTTTACATTTTGGCAGTTTTTTTTTCTTTGTCATCGAAAAAAATTCTATTAAACAATTTTTTTGTCTCCTCTTATGGGTAATTTTATTTTATTTTTTTCACGAAAAACACTAGCAAAGTATTTACATTCTTTGGCTCAGTTAATTATTTTGAAATTAATAATAAAAAAAAAAACTCATGAAATGTTTTTTAAATGAATATTATAATTTGTAATAAATGAAATTTAATTTAAAATTAAATTAATTTAAAATTTAAAAATTTAACTATTTTGTAAAATTAACAAAAAATTGAAAAATTAATTTTTTTATATTTTTATATTAATTTTCAGCATAAATTTTATATATATTATTCATAATTACAGTAAATCCTACATTAATTTTTTTTCTTCATTTTTTTTATTATTATTATCACTATATGTTTTTTTTTTAGTTTCTAAGTCTCGTTTCTGATGATGATGATGATTTGAAAATTAAAATAAAACAAATTTTTATCGATTAAAGAAAAAAAATTAAAATTTTTTTAGTGAACAAAATTTATATTGGTGAAAAATAAATTCTGCGATTAATATGAGCTTAAACAAATCTGGACATGCTTACTAAATTGTTGGGTGTCTATAAAAAAAAAGTTTAAATTGCATAATGTAATAAATAAAAAAAAACTTATTAAAACAATAGGATTTATTTAAATAATATTTATTAAAATAAGAATAAACATCAACAAAAAACATGATTTTTGGAAAAATTCGAATAAATCGAATTTTAAAATGCGGTGATTTTTTTTTTTTGTCGTTTTGGCTTCAATTATGTAATACTTGATTAAGATTATATAAATTCTAGTAAAAGGAAGGACTAAAGTGTCCTTCCTTATTGTTGAGTAATAATTATGAAAACAGTTAAAAAAAAAATCTCGTTTCCGCCTTTTGGGAAAAATTTTTTTATAGAAAAAAGAATTTTGTACTTTTTTTTTTTCTTATTCTATATATGTAAAAAAGTGTATCAAGCGTGTGTAATATTTTTGTTTCTTGTAAATTATTATTTCATAAATATTCTCAAAAATTGAAAATTTATTTATCGTAATAAAAAAATTTTTTTTTTTATTTTTGATTAAAATTTTATTATTTAAAATAATAAAAATTTATTATTTCAAATTTATAAAATTTTATGATTTACTTTTATTTTATTTGTTTTTTTTTTTACTTTTATGGAATATAATACAATATTAAATTAGACAAAAAATTAGGAAATATTTTTTAAAGGAAAAATTGAAAAAACATTTCGACGATTATTTAATTTAAAGACGGAAACGTGATTCAAAAATATATTTGTCAGTCTTTATAATAAAAAATATCGAAAAACAATTAAAAATAAAAAAAAAACAAAAAACGATCGATAAAGCGATCGAGGAAGCGCAAGTTGTAATTAGATATCCTGATTAATAAATAGTTTTGGTACATAATGATTGTTATTGAGCATGAATGATTTCTATTATTCGATGGCCTATTGGAACCATAAGAAATATTTCACACTGTTTTTTTCAAATTTCTTTTTTTTTTTTTTTTTTTCAAAAATCACTTAATTCGATTAAAAATTCGTTATATATAATATAATAAATGTCAAAATTGTTTTTATCGAACACTAAAATTACGTCCTTATAACAATATTAATTTATCGTTAAATAACCAGATTTTTTTGTATAATAATTCTCATAAAAAATCGCTGAAAAATTTGAGGAGAGACTTGCCTTTTTATTCCGATGAAAAAAAATACTTTATTACAATTGAACGAAAAATTAGAATTTTATTAACATAATTTTTATAAATTTTTACAAAAAAAAATATTTTAGTTTTCAAAATTCTTTTTTTTTTAATAAAAAATTAAAAACTATATTTATTAGTTTTTGAAAAGGAGGTAAAAAATTATTTTGGCAATATTTCTTTCTTTTATCATTTTTTTTTCTCAATTTAAAAGAAAATTTGAAAATAATTAATTAAGAAAAATTATCGACAATTTTAATAAGAATTTAATTCATCGGAATTTATTTCTTGATATAGAGATACAATTGGTACTTACCATCGAACTTTGAAAAACAGCCAAAAACTAAATATTTAATACTTTCAACTAACTATATATAACTGAGTGCAATAATAATTATTATAAATTAATTAAATTAAAAAAAAAAAAAAAAAAAAAACGAAAAACACTTTGGGACTAATATTTTTAATCTCATTTGCTAAAAAATATCTCGGGACTCGAATATCTCAAAGAATCAATTATAAATACAGCTAAACTTATCACTCCGATTTGATCGGATTAAACCACACACACACATATACACAGGAGAATGTGGCACAAAAATTTCCAGACTCGCTGGAATATAATATATTTTTTTTTTATAGAGGGTGACTCGAAAAAAAGTTAAATTTTTATATTTTTCTTTCAATTCTTCGTGAAAAATTTGAATGAAAAATAATTTTTTTTTATCACTTTTTTGTCCGATAGATATTTTTAAATAAATTTTTATTTATTGTTAAAGTTGATCTCTACAATTATTTATTGAATATAGTGAGTTTTGATTTTTAACAATATTCATCATGGACTAAAAGAAGTGATGAAAAAAAGGAAAATGCAAATTTTTTTAAAATCAGTTTTTAATAAAGAATTGACAAATATAAAAATATATCTTTCATTCTTTGACACCCTGTCTGTTTGATTTTCAACTCTGAATTGGACAAATCAAATAAAACTGATTAAAAAAAAAAAAAGAAAAAAAAAATATTAAAATTTTTTATTTTCATCAATTTTATAATGGATTCATCAATTGATCAGTTATCGAAAAATGTATATCGATTTATTTATCGATTTTATGAATAATCGATTAATTTGTCGAATTAAAAAATAATCGATTTGTTTATCGATTTAATTAATTATTAATTTATTTATCGATTTTATTAAAAAAAATCGATTTATTTATCAATTTTATTATTATTGAATAATTTATCGATTTTATTTAAAAAAATCGATTTATTTATCAATTTTATATATATTGAATAATTTATCGATTTTATCAATTACTAATTTATTAATCGATTTTGTAAACAATTGATCAATTTATCGATTTTATCACTAATTGATTTATTTATTGATTTTATCAATTATTGATTCATTTATCGATTTTATTAATAATCGATATTTTAATATGGTTACGATATATTCTGAAGTACCAATTAATGGATTTTAAGGTATCAATTAATCGTATAAAAAATATCGATAAATCGATTCTAAAGTATCGATAAAGTAAAATTCAAAAATCGTACTCAAAATTATAATTTAAACATTGATTTTAAAATATTAATTTTAAAATACGAACCGTAAAATATTTCATATCCATTTAAAAATATTGATAAATAATTTCTAAAATATCAATAAATCAATTTGAAAATTGAAAATAATTAAGAACAACGACTAAAATTTAAAAATTTTAAAAATGGATAAATCGGTGTTAAAATACTGAAAATTAAATTTTTTAATGGTAAATAATATAATTTTAAAAATCGATAACTCGATTGTAAAATATTTATACTTATACAAAGTTATTTTCGAATATAAATTATAGAAATTTTAAAATCGATTTTAAAATATTGATAATTTGATTCTAAAATATCGATCTAAATCAATTTAGAAATATGGATAAATACATATTTCGATAATCCATCATTAGATGAATCTATTACATAATTTCCTGTAGAAAATTAAAAAAAAAAAAAATTTACATATTTAGAATTGCAAAAAAAAAAATAATATTTTGCTCACTAAATTCTCTTAAAAATCGACTGTTAAATTTTGTTTTTTGTTTTTAAAAATCACAAGCAAGTCATAGTTCCTCTGATAATGCAATTGGCGCTCTCGAACCGGGTTTCATATCTTTAACACCAATTCCAATATCATCAACTGGCATTGGCGCCAATTTCAATTGATTGCCATTAATTTTGATATCGTTGACTGAATGTGAGCGACCGTGGGACGCGAGAAGTTTCGTTGCGTTGGAATTCGTTTTTAAAATCGAGGTAGTGGTGATGGTAGTAGTAGCAGCAGCAGCAGTGCTAGTTGAATTTGAATTTGGACTTCGTTCGCGATGATGATTGTTACTATTATTTGTTGTTGAATTTATCATTGAATTACCCGCCATTGAAACGGGAATCAATGTTGAGACCAAAATTGGATTTGTTATCGATTTTGATCGTGGCTTTGGTTTAATAAGACTGTTATTCGTACTACTACTATTATTCACCGAATTATTTGAATTTGCATTGTGATTTGAATTTATCTCCAGCTCGTGATTTATCGCGTGCGTTGTTGATAAATTTGTTGTATTGTTAGTTGAATTATTTATAGTGGTGGTGGTGGCGGCGGCAGTTGCGACATTCATCAGCTGATTGGCCGATTGTGAGCGGGGTGCATGATTGCCCAATTTTTCGCGTAGGGCTATTTGATAGGCCACTTCAAATGCTTGACCCAATGTTAGAATCACTTCCGTTGCTTGATCCTGAAACAGAAATCATCGTATCTCTCATTTTTAAAAAAATTTATTACATTGTAGAGTCGTTTATTCTCCCTGCAAAGTTTATAGTGTAAATTTCTACTTTATCATAGGCAGATAATGTAGACCAGAATTACCAGCAGCCGGTAAATTAGTGAACTGCGTTACCTACTTAAGACAAGCTGATAAACTACATTACCGGCTATCCGATTTTCAATTGTCTACCGTAGAAATGTTAGAAAACTACATTAAATACGTAAGTCAGAAAACTATATTAACTACTGTAGGTAATTTAGTAAACTACATTAACTACTGTATGTAAGTTATTAAACTGCATTGTCTACTACAATTTTTAATTACTTAATGTAAAAAAGTTAGAAAACTACATTAACTACTGTAGATAAGTTAAAAATAGTACATTAAATACAGTCGCTTAGTTAGTAAACTACATTGCCTACTACAATTTTCAATTATTTACTAGCAGATAAGTTAGACAACTACATTAACTATTGTAGGTAAATTAAAAAATTACTTTAATTACTGTAGGTAATTTACTAAACTATATTATATACTGTAAGTAAGTTAGAACCCTACATTAACTACTGTAGGTAAGTTAGAAACCTACATTGACTACTGTCGGTAAGGTAGAAAACTACTTTAATTACTGTATGTAAGTTAGAAATCGACACTAACTACTATAGGTAAATTAGAAACCTACATTAACTACTAAATGTAAGTTGGAAAATTGCTTTAACTACTGTAGGTAAGTTAGAAAATTACTTTAACTACTGTGGGTAATTTAGAAAACTATATTAACTACCTTAGGTAATTCAGTAAACTACATTTTCTATTGTGTGTAAGTCAGTAAAGTATATTGTCTACTACGGTATTTAATTACCAACACCAGACAAGCTAATAACTTACATTGCCTATTTAGATAAGTTAACGAAATTTATTATTTATTGTAGGTAAGTTAACAGACTGCATTACCTATAGTCGGTAAGGTAACAAACTACATTATCTACGGTATGTTAGTTAGGAAAACTACATTATCTATCATGGTATTAAATTACCAACTACAGACTAAAAGTTATTAAAAAAAAAATTTTTTTTCTAGTTATTTTTTGTAATTATTGTAATACTTACCATTGTGGGCACACAAAATACATGACAAAAATGGGTACGGCTCGCATGGTCTTTGGTAATATATGCAAAATGCGTGAGATCATCCGCGTCTTGGCATGCGCAGTGAATATTGCGAATTTCGTGTTCACAAATTGGCTCCTGTTTAACAATATAAAACAAAATGTTTCCTTTTTTTTAATCTGCTTTAATTAATTAACATAACCTCAAATTCAAAAAAGCATATTGATTCTTTTATTCTTTCTATAATTGAATTGAAATTGCAATATATTATATAAATAATATAATAATATTATAATATTTTAATTTAATTATTTTCTAAAAAAATAAAAAAAAAAAATTTTTTTTTCAAATAAATATAATCTTTTTTGCTTACATTCGTTAAAGTGTTCAAAAATCGTACACCACGATAGGTAATGGCCAAAGTGATGTCCGGTATTACTCGAGGATCGCGGCAGGTCTTTTTTAATTTTTGTATCGACTTCTTCGTTGATTCTGTACCCCTCAGTTCTTTAACCACAGTCGAGCCCAAATACTACGAACAATCAATTTTAATATTCTAACATTAAAAGTACAAACTTTAAAAAAATTCGCTGTTATATATATTTTTTTTCAAATTTAAATTTACTATAACAAAAGAAAACTTAAATTTGAACTTGATTTTCTGTTTATATATTTCAAAAACATTTAGTTTTGACTTCAATTATTTAGTATCACTTTGCCATGCGCCGCCTAGCGGTGGCGTTGGTGAACTAGTCAATAAAAAGTAATAGAATCTCGAGTTTTAAAAGAAAATAAATATTTTCACAAAAGTAGAATTTTATTAAATTCTAGTTAATGGAAAAAAAAATAACAAAAATATAAAAAAAATATTAAAAAATAGATAAAAATTACTCACGTTGGCGATATATGTAACGCAACCAGTGACTAGATCTTTTGGATGATGCCTCCATTGTGTTTTAAGAGTAGATGGAACGCCAAAGAGAAGTTCAGATGGCGCACGAATTTCGAGTTGTTCGGGCGCTGAAACGGCTCCATTATGTGAACTTGGCCTTTGTGGTGGTTGAGGCGCTGGTCTATTTTTTCTATGCCTCAATGTTCCCGTTGTTGTTGTTGTCGTTGTCGTCGTCGTTGTTGCACCACTAACAGATACATTTCCATCGTTTTGCGGTGTTTCCGGTAGTTTTTCCCGAATTTCCTCTTTCAACTGTTGAATATTTGTTTTCTAGAAAAAAAATTGGATAAATTTTTTTTTTTCAGTTGTCTTATTTACATTTCCTTAAGATTTGGATTTTTAATTTTAAGGTTATTTTATCATCTTGCCCTTGAATTATAAGGTTATGTTTACTCCTCATAACCAAGGGGTATCTTATGACTTTGAATTTTGAGGTTAAGTTCCTTTTTTTTTACCCAAATCTTCAAAGTTAATTTTTAGGGTTATGGTTTGTCCGGCCATAACTTGAAATACTTTTTCCTAAACTTTTAATCATATTAATCCTTTAAAAACAATTTTCTAAATTCAATTTATCGTCTCAAAATCAAAATGATCATATTTTATCTGATAATTACGCAAATATAGAGTTTAATTACCACACTAATTACACTATATTAATTAAATATAGATTACATTAATTACTATATTTAACTCTTATTGATCAGTGTGTTAAATTAAATATTGAATTATAAAATATCTAATAATAAAATTATTCTTTATTTTTATTCTCTTGCTATAAATAGAGAACGATTTCGTGCTAATAATGAGCAGTAATTACGGCAGTTGAACGTACCAATTACACGTCTCGTAAATGTGCTTGCCATGGAAAGTGATACGAGTGACAAAATAAAAAAAAAAAAAAAAGAAGAAGAAGAAATTATCATTTACCGCACGAATGGCGTTACTGAAAAGAGTGAAAAGCCCCGTGAAGTGTTGCATTTGGACAATGACGAGAACTCCAATTAGCCGAGATATTTACATTATAACGTACTGAGTGCGCGATCAAATGGGAAACATTTGAAACGATTGGCTGGCCTCAAGAGAAACCAGGAGGGGGGAGGGATTTCAGAGAGAGAAAGAGAGAGAGAGAGAGAGACATTCAGAATAAGGGGTAGTATGACGTGTGAGTTTCACTCTGCCACCCTCGAAACCGTATTGTTGTCGGTGAAACACCTCTTGTCAGGCAACAACTAACAGAATCACCCTTCGACTTTACCCCCACCCCCCTATATCTCCAGTCCTTCAATACACTATACTTTTCGAAACAATTGATTTGCTCGTGAAATTACGATGCTGATCGTAATTGCCATCCAGATTTCATCTCTTCAAACGCGACAAAAAACAATTCCCAACGTAATTTATTTCTACTTTCTGATAATTGTTTCATTTCCCCCCCCCCCCTCAATATATATATATAGCCTTCAGTTTGATGAAATTGGTTTTTGACAATCGAACAAAAAACAACATTATTCATCAAATGAAAAGACTTTGTAAACAATGATATGCAATTTGGTTTCATAATTCTTCGATTTGATGACTTTCGGAAAGAAATATGTTTGTTTTACAAAATTTAACCATAATTTTGATTCACAGTATAAAATTGAATCAAGTGGTTATAGATTTTAATTAAAATAATCAGAATTCTATTTTTGGATTCATTGTTGTTATATAAATTTCTCACCAAAGTATTTAGATCTTTATTGAGGTCCTCGAGATTGGCTCCATTTCCATTTCTCATTTGCATCCTTGTACTTGGTCCGCTCACCGATGCGAGAATCCTTTTCCGGTGTGCGGGTTTTTGTATTTCTAATACAGCCGCTAATTCCACTTCCCAAACCCGTTGAACGCGATCCATATCGGTGTAAAGATGTTTCTTAAAAGTATCACCATAACTCTCAAGATGAATACCCTTTAGCCAATCGTCCACCGATTGACCATAAATTGTTACACGTTTTTCAACACGATTTTTTAACAGGCCAACAGCATTTAATATCACAGCCCGTTCCTGATCACTTGTTATTCCCATGTCACGTAAATCGGATTCATCTAAAACTCCATTCTGGGGAAAAGAAGAATTAAATTTTACAATTGAAAAAATTTACAGTCTCCTATAGCTTAATATTTCTATTTTACGAAATTATATTTTTATTTGATTTTCAAAATTTTTGATTAGAAAATGCTCGGAACTAGAAAATTTGGAAAATTATTTGGAAAATTATATTGGTAAATAGTACACTGAGAGAAGTTAAACACAGATTTCGTACTAAACACACGTTCAGATAGTCTACCTAACCTTTCGAGCAACATCGGTTCTAAATTGTATCGCAGCTGCGCTTTTTGGTGGACAGATACTGTACTAAATCGTTTGTCCCACAAGTTAGGTCAGAATCAGTACTCAATTGGCGCTGCTGCTGTTCGATTTTAGTACTGCGTCTGCACATAATTGTGGTACAATATCTGTCCCTCAAAAAATGCAGATGTTGCGTTAAACTTCTCTCAGTGTAGATTTTTGATAAAATTTGATGCACTACACTAAAGCTTCTAGTTTTTAATTTTTTTCAGTTTGAGAATATTTGAGAACTTACGATAAATTCTAGATCATCGAATCCGTAATTCACGAAAAGGGATTCGTAATCAGCTAGACCCAAATTGGACAACCACTGACCAACTGTTGTCGAAACAACTGGACTATTATTGCTCTCTGAGGTCAAACCTGAAACACAACAAATATTTTTATTTCAATATTATTTCATATAAAGAAAAATCTTCGACTCAAATCGTCTGATAGTTGAAACAAAATTTTTTTTGATTCAAATAATCCGTTACTTAACTATTATAAAGAACCAAATTACTAGAACCAAATTATATTTGTAATAATGCAGTACTAGCATTAGGACCAATAATTTCTGTATTTGAAACAAATACCATTTGACTCAAATAATAATTATTTTTTCTAATGTATAGCTTTCATTAATTCAATTAGTGAAATATTCGAAGGTGGCGCCCCTAGTGTTCACTGTCGATATCACAAAACGCCGTACAACATCAAATGGTTTCTGCTTGGTCTATTTTTTTATCAAGTGCATTCGTTTTAGATCAAACAATTAATTACAGCAATAAATAAATAAGTAATAATAATGAAATAAAATAATAATAACTGAGTCAACTCTAATAAAAATCATTAGTACAATAAACGGAAATTAATTTACAATATCTAAATTGAATATAGAAATTAATTATGACAAAAAATTCGTTAGGACTTAAAAAAATATATTAACAATGATCAGATGAAAATTTATATTATATATATATATTAATAAAAATATCTCTCAGCTTTATATATGTATTAAGTGACTTTCGGGTAATTCAATATTAATAATTTCAATATCAAGACTGACCCAATCTTGTCTGGAATTCCTTTTCCAGTTCGCTAACGAATACAGATTCACGTACAAGGCCAGTGCCAAATGAAGCCATAATTTCAGAAATTTTTGCCCACTCTTCTTGCTCGTCAAAAGGGCTCATAATACTGAGTGACTTGTCGTCTCTTTCACGATCGCGATCAGTCAACCGAAATGGGATTTCACCGTCGTCGAGACGTTCGCTACCACTGTCGGTACCAGTTCCCATTCCGCAAGTCAACGGTGCATAGACGTTCCGCAATCGTCTTAATGTTCGTGGTCGTTCCGCCGACACGGAGCCCTTCAATAATCCTGTAATCAAACAAAAAAAAAAAAAAGAAATATTACAAAAAATCCAATTAAAAATCACATTAACTCATAGTTTTTTTTTCTCTCTTAAAAATTAGATATAATTAGTTTTCTTTTTTTTGGGGGAATTTCTTTACTTTTGATTTTGTAATCATTTTATTTTTAATGGTAGAATTGTGTTAGGATTGTGATTTTGATTGTGTTAGTATTTAAAAAAATTGCTTCAATTTGACGCGATTTAGATATTGTGGAAGCAGCCTTAGATGACGTCATTTCCAAAATGTGGAAAGTTGCCATTGTCCCTACTCGCGATTTGTCATATAATTATTGTCAACTACCGCACCCTGCTCTAGTGAAAATTTAGTGACTTTATAGTAACTTTTAAGTCTAACTAAAAAGTTACTAAATTTTCACTATAGAGCAGGGTGCGGTAGTTGACTTATCATAAAATTTTAACTAAAAAATCACTAAATTTTCATTAGAGCAGGGTGCGGTAGTTGACTTATTATAAAAATACTTGGGAATTTCAAAAAAAATGTGAGGTTATGTGCGAATTTTCAATTCCGATTTTCAAATAACTTCCAAAATCGTTTCTGTAAAATGAGAATCGGGGCCTTTTATATTTTGATAAATCATAAATCATCATATTATCGTAAGTGATTTTCAAAATTAAAATAATATATTTCTATGAAATGCGGAAGTAAAATTTAAACAGGAAACAATGCCTTTGTCTGCTATAACCGCACACATAGATAATGATTAGAGAGGCGCATAATTTTGGTACAAGGTTACCTTTTGCCAGCACTAAAAGGATTGCACAGTGCGCAAACACACACACATATATATATATATATATATATATATATAGTATAAATACGATTGAATGGTACCAGCTATCCAGTATACCGGATATCAATAATGGATACGTCATGCATACGAAGGGCATCGTAGATACGTTGCATATTCAATATATGAAGTCGTTACTATTCGGCTCTCTGCGAGTTTACAACCATGTAATAGAATGGCAATCAGAAGTTTCAGATATGTCCTTTAATCATCACACACACACATACATACAATGTCAATATATAAAATAACATCTTTGATGCATATATAGAATTTTAAAACATTTTTCAAAATTTAAATAAATATTTCACCAAATAATGAAAAAAAATCTCCCCTTATAATTGTATCAATATTTTATAATAAATAAATATTTTTCTTTGCATTGCGCGCTTGCAAAATTGAATTTCACTGGCGAGCATTAGAGTAATTAATTAGGGTTATTTCGCATTTGGGGTAAAAATTTGTGAAAACTGAAAATATAAAAATACCGACAGAGAAATCTACATTACCGACTGATGGTCAAACAATTTTAAAAAAAATTAAAATATAAAAATTACCGATGCAAAAATGTACCTTATCGACTGATGGTGAAACAGTTCTTTGAAAAGTAATAATATAAAAATTTCCAAACGCAGAAATCTACCTTACCAACTGCTGGTAAAACGGTTTTTAAAACAAAAATATATAAAAAATTACCAAAGCAAAAACCTACTTTACCGAATAATGGTATATATATTTTTTAATTTTTCCAACTTTTTCTGAACTGTTTTACCATCAGTCAGTAAGGTAGATTTCTATGTCGGTAATTTTCATTTTACAAAAAACTTTTACCATCAGTCGGTAAGGTGGATTTCTGCGTCAGTATTTTTTATATTTCCATTTTTCAAAAAAAAAAAATTTCTTTACCATCAGTCGGTAGGGTAGATTTCTATGTCGGTAATTTTCATTTTACAAAAAACTGTTTTACCATCAGTCGGTAAGGTGGATTTCTGCGTCAGTATTTTTTATATTTCCATTTTTCAAAAAAAAAATTTCTTTACCATCAGTCGGTAGGGTAGATTTCTATGTCGGTAATTTTTATATTGGCATTTTCCAAAAAAAAAATTCTTTACCATCATTCGGTAAGGTAGATTTCTAGGACGGTAATTTTTCAAAAAAATTTTACCATCTTGTTAATTTTTTAACCTTCAGTGTAATTGTTTTATATTATAAAAAAATAATTATAAGTTTTTCATAAAAAAAAATAATCACGTACAAAAAAAAATTTTTTTTTTATCACTTCAGCTTTTTGTCGTTTCTTTATTTTCTTTTCGGATTTAACGCATGACGTGACGCAGTAACGACAAGATAACCTTCATCATGAGCTTGGCGGTTTTATGGAATTATCTAGCTAAATCCTTGCGACGTCGACGACGACGACGACGACGTTCCTTTCTCGGACATCATCGCACAAAAGTGGGATTTTGCCTGCGTGTGTTGTGTTAAATGAAAAGAAAGTCAACCAGACGTTCTTCGGTATTTCGCTCTGCTGCTTTTCACCAGATGAAAATTATATTTGTTCGTTTTATGTCCGTTGTGTGAAACTCCTTTTCAAATTGAATACTGATTCAGATTTTTCTTTTCTTTTTTTTTTTTTTTTTTTGAAATTAAATCTCAGGGGACACACACGCTACTGTAATTAATTAGTGTACGCTGCTTTTTAATTAAAAAACTGTAGCTACAGAAAAGACGTCGTCGACGACACAGTTCTCTAAAGTAAAAAAAAAAAAGAAAATACTCTTTTATTTTTGTCACATATTGTAAAAAAATATGTTTACCTCTAAATTCTGAAGCTATTTTATATTATATTTATTTTTTCTCCTATCCGCGAGTTAATTTATTTTTCTCTCACATTGTTCGCGTATACTAATTATTATATATACTTAAATAATAAAATTAGTTTTAATTTAGAAGAAGAAGAAAAAAAAATTACTAAGAAGTTATTACAATAAAAAATTGCAAAAATATTTATTTAAAAAAATTGTTGAATTATATTTTAATTGTTATTACTTTCGAGTAATGATTTCAAAACAGTAAATTAATAATAATGATTGCGTTATACTAATAACAATAATTATAACAAAAAAAAAACAAGTGGTCATTATTATAATAATAATATTAGTGAACAAATGAAAATAAAATTGCTTTTCGACAAGATAATTTTTTTTAATGATCGTGACTCAGTTTCATTCTTTTGTTAAACAAAATGCAAATAGAATAATCGGATGATTCATTCAAAGAATGTTTCTTGCATAATTTGTAAAAAATAATATATTTTTTTTTAAGATCCTAAGAATCAGTCATTTTTGTCTCACTTTATTTTTTATAATTTGAAAAATAAATTTTTTTTAAAAAATTGCAAAAATAAAAATTTTATAAAGAAATCAGTTTGTGGAAAAATTCTTTCATTTCAAATTCAACAAATACGTAAATATATATAGTAATATAAATTATATATATATGGGAATAGAATTGCAGTGTTAGGGAGTTGAAGGGTTAAAGTAGATGATAAGTAGTGGCCGCAAGGTTTTGCCTCTTTTCAAAGATGGTCCCAGTGCGGAAATATATCCGCGCGTAATGAAAAGCTCATAAAAAATACTAAATAAAGAGACTCGTGTTATACGTGCAAACGTACGTAATTTTAATTAAAACATCATGATGGAGGGCGTCGCGTCGCTTACTAGAACCCTTGCAACCTCATTCCTCAACCAACATTTTCCCTCTCCCACTTTCTAACCATATATATTTTCCCTCTGCTAACTCAACTCTCACTTACTCACTCTTTCACCTCATCCTCATCTGCTGCCCCCCCCCCTCCCCCCTCTTACTGCATCCCTTTCCATGTTCTACCATCATCGTTGAATATATTATGTAGGAACTTATTCAAGTCATATAGTATGTGCAAATTACATAAATCCTCCTACGCACTTGTGACTCCACACTTCAGCAGGTGGAAAACAGTGGAGATTTTTTTTTCATTTTTTTTTTTTTTTTATTACAGAACAATAAAGACAGGAAATGGTCATTTTGAAATGTCAAACATCGTGAGAAAATTCTGCCGTACGATGTAAAAACTTAGTTAAGTCATATTTTTGACAAAAATGAATTTTTGGTATCAATGGATTCGTAAGAAAAAACTGCGTCTGATTACGTTATTAAAAAATTTTATTTTAATTATTTATTGCAAAAAATAGTTATTAAAAATCTACAAAAATCCAGAAAATGAAAGAATACTTGATAAAAACTCAGTTAACTCGAGTTGAGTAGTCCAAAAATCGTAGGAAGCGTTGAGATCGAGCATATAAGATACGAAATAAAAACTTAGTTAACTCGACTTGAGTGTTTTCTCTTTCGAAAAGTGGCATAAGCCGGACACTGCATTTCGATGGGAGCAAGCGTAAGTCAACTTCGTTAAAGTTCGGATTTTCGGCGGGTGAATTCGGAATCCCATGCATTTAGCTTGAGTTAACTAAGTTCTTACTTCTGAACGAAGGCTCGCGCTCGCCTACCTTTTCGAAAAGCACTACGTAACTCGAGTTAACCAAGTTTTGCTTTTAAAAAATAAAACTTAAGTCAATTATTTAATATAATTTGTTTAAATAATTAACTTTTGACTTCAGAATTAAAAAGAACTCTATCAAATTACCTAGGAAGTGAAGTTAGATTAAAGAATTATTTATATTACATTAGGTTTTTAAATACAAACAGTTTTTCGTCATTTTCTCCGTTCGAACAAAATATGACTTAACTAAGTTTTTATTTCGCACGGCAGAATTATTTTGTTAGTATAAATATTTAAAATTTGAAAAAAAACATTTTTTTGTTTAATTTGAATGTCGAAATATCGATTTAAATTTAAATAGATCGATATTTTGTGCCGATATATATTGATTCAAATGTAAATAGATCAATATTTTGTTTATTATTATATTATATTATTTATATCGATATTGTATATTGATTATCAATATTTTACGTCGATATATCGATTTACATGACAGTAGATCGATATATTGATTTTTATGGAAATAGATCGATATTTCACATCGATATTGTAAATCGATTATCAATATTTTACGTTATATCGATGTAGGTGATAATAAATCGATATTTTATGT